TTACCTTCGGGTATATTGAATTGTAATCTTTATTTCAAGCTCAGAGCTCATAAATGGTTAGTAACAATTTTCTTATACAACTAGTGTTAGTAAAACAAATTTGATCATCAATTACAAATACAATTATTATACAATCAGATTTCATTAAAAACAAATTATAAATGTCATTGAAAAATAAAAATGTATGTAAAATTGAAATTGAATTAAACTAAAATAAAATAAAAACAATAATAAAATACATTAAAATAAAAATGGATGTAAAATTAAAATAAAATTAGATTATAAAAAAATGAGATATATAAAAGTACATTTTTAACTGACTTCAAAAAAAGAGGTCCTCAGTTAGACTTATGTATGTTTGTTTGTGCGCAATTATCTCGCGATTGGCTGCACCGGTTTTGATACGGTTTTCAGAAAAGTGTTCGTTACACTTGGGTGATGGTTTTAGTATATTAATTGACCGACTTCAAAAAAGAGGTTAGTTTATTTTAAAGTTTAGTTTATAAAATAATTATCGTATAGACCACACACAAACTCAGAACCTATACTGAATTTTCCACTTGGAAAACTGACATTTTCCGACTAAGGGAAAACGGCGTATCTAGTCTTGGTATCTCTGTTCAGTAGATAACATGACTGTGTTATGTTCAGTTACGTAGGTGTTAAGAGCTAATATGAGAGATAAGCTTTTGCTAAATCAATACTCTAGGTAGGAGGTGACCACTATATTAGTTTTGATCTATTTACGCTTTGAATTACTTGTAATTAAATCCCTTATTGAGAGGGTACGCTTTGTGGCTATTTTAGGACCACTTTAATGTGTAATCAGGTTTATATCTGTGTAACTTTAGTGTGGGCTAAGGTTTATAGTGTTAGAATAACGTTATTCGTATGTTGATTTTGAATTAGAAGTTTATTTTTATTTATTTATTTTATTTTATTTATTTAGAAAACCAACAGCGATACATATGATATAATACAAAATAAAGATATTACAGTTTAGTAAGGCTAATAATAGGTTTCCCTGCTTAACTTAATTTGTATTTACCATGCGAACGGACTTTAAACAATATTTAAAAATAAAGTTTTAATATAGAATTGAAAGTTAAATATACTACTTGTTATGAAAGGGAGATAATAATATTAACCTAATTAAAATATGAATTAACATAGTAAATGCTCCATGGTAAATGCTTTATGGTGAATGGAACAAAGTTGCCCGCTACTTGCCTTTATCAATTATAATATTTTTAACTTGGGCTTTAAAGCTAGGTTTTGTGCAGTTAAACACATCAACCTGAGAGAAGTCTTTGTTGTAGGCTCGCGCAATGCGAGCAAGTACACAATTACTAGCATAGTTAGTGGCATGCCTAGGTACATGCAACATTGGCGTATGGCGAGTGCGTCGTAGAGGAGCATTAAATTTGATTTGTGATAACAAATCCGGACAATCCAGCCTACCATTCAGTATGTCGTAAAGTACACACATGTCCAACACTTCACGTCGTTCATCGAGTGTTAACAACCCATACGTTCGACAGCTATTTTCGTAAGACATTGGAGGTTTGCGGAGGCGGTAGTTAAGGTGATTAATAAATTTTTTTTGAACTCGTTCTATTTGATTTTTATACATATTATATTGAGGGGACCATATTGGGCATGCGTATTCAAGAACGCTACGAACATAAGCAAAATATACAGATTTAAGCGCTTCAATGTTTTTAAATGCCTTGCAGGATCTTAAAACGAATCCTAAATTTTTGTAAGCTTTGCTAGTAATAAGATCTATGTGATTTGAAAATGCCAATTTGCTATCGAACATAACTCCTAAGTCTCGAACTATCTCAACTTTATTAATAGTAATTCCATTAAATTGGTACGAGTACGTTATAGGGTTCCTCTTACGTGTGTAACTGATGCATTGACATTTCTTGACGTTTACTGTAATCTTGTTTCTTGTATAGTAATCATGTAAATTGTCAAGGTCTTGTTGGAGAGCTGTACAGTCATCAAATGAAGTTATTTTATAATATATTTTTTTGTCGTCAGCGTACATTAAGTGTTCGGAGTGTTTGAAAGAGTCAGTAATATCAAATAAATATGCATTATAGAAGAGAGGTCCTAAATGGGATCCTTGTGGAACACCACTAGGTATTTCTATGAAGTTAGAACGGTAACCACCCAATACTACAGCCTGTGACCTTTTAAATAAATATGATTTTACCCAACGAAGAAGATCGCCGCGAATACCCAGTCTATATAATTTGCTGAGCAGGATGCTGTGATCCACACGATCGAAAGCTTTTTCAAAATCTGTGTAGATCACATCAACCTGCCCTCCCTTATCTGTATTGCCAAGGACAAAGTTAGAAAAGCAAGCTAGATTGGATATACTCGAACGCTTTTTTAAGAAACCGTGCTGCCTATAAGATATACCTCTAAGAATGCAAGGATATATAGCATTATACACAAGCTTTTCAAATACTTTACCCAAAGTATTAAGTATAGAAATACCTCTGTAATTTTCTATTTTTACTCGCGAACCCTTTTTATGTATAGGAATTATAAGTGCTTTCTTCCATTCATTTGGGAACGTACCTTCTCTCAAAGAGATATTAAAGATGAAACTAATCGGATGTGCTAGAGACTTTGCGCAACTTTTCCAAAACAGTGGTGGTATACCGTCACAACCTGGACCCTTATCTGTACCTAACGAACTCAGCGACCTCTCCACAGTTGATGGAGTAAATCGAAGGTCAGTTATGATATCACCACAACCATCCTCAACCTCTGTGACCCTCAAACCAGCTAGGTTATAGTCTGAGGGTTCTCCAAAAACATCATGAAAGAAGTCGCCGAATGCTTCGCAAATGTCTTTCCCATCTGTGTAGTTTACATTGTCGCGGGACAACATTCCGGGATAACTAGATCCTCCACGCAAATTTTTAATGTAACTCCAGAACTTTTTAGGATGCTCTTTCAGACTATTTTCGGTCTCATGTAGGTATTTACTATAACAAAGCTCTTGAACATATAGCTGTCTATCCCGCAACATTGCAAACTCATCGCGATCGAGCAGGTTACCGAAACGTTTCCAACGTGAGTGTGCCTTACTTTTTTGTTTAATTATTTTTATAAGGGCGTTACTGTACCAAATAGGATATCTGCGAGAACCCACAGGTCGGCTGAGAAGTACGTGTTCATCAATTCCTGCTTGAATTGCGTCATAAAAACCATGTACCGCGCTGTCCGTTGATTTTTTGTCCAACGTAGATTCCCAGTTAATTTTAGCAAAGTAATTATTTAATGCGTTATAATCAGTCTTACGGTAATTACGTCTCGGTGCGGAAAACTCACGAAAGGGGGAAATTTCAAGGTCAGGGATTTCTATAGCCAACACTGGATGATGAATGTCAATTTTCGTTAGCGGATGGACACATTCGTTTATGTGTAATAGCAAGTTAGAAAACGCTAAATCTAGTGTATGACCTTTGTGATTTGAAAGTGTATTATATTGCGTTATTCCTAAAAAATATAAATCATTCACCAAGCGCATAGCTGCATTTTGTACTTCGACGGCACCCTGTTTTAGAAAAATTGGCCCACTCACATTCCATTTAATACAGGGTAGATTAAAATCTCCAATTAGTAAATAGTTATTATTTTTTGTGTTGTGGGATAATAGATTCGTAACCGTCCGCAAAACGTAATCTATGTCAGGCACTATCTTATGAGCGTCCGGAGGTACGTAAACAACACTTACATAAAGATTAGCCGATGTCGACAGGGCGCGGGCGGGTATTATTATAGTCAAAAGTTCCGTACCAATAGTATTAGGCTCACACTCACTGCACCATGCACCCAAATCATGTCGCGCAAGTATCATTACACCTCCACCAGACGATTTGCTGGTGGCGGCTAGGTCGCGATCCTTACGGAATACGTCATACCGAGAATCACACAATTCGTTATCAAAAATGCCACTGTGAAGCCAGGTCTCAGTCATGATAATTAAATCGTAACTATTGCCTAAAATGTTTTGACGAAGTTGCGTCATTTTCGTTCTGAGGCCACGACAGTTCTGGTAATATATATTTAAGTTAAGGGGCTGCATTTTTGTAAATAAATCCTACCAAAAACATAAATAAAAATCTTGTATATAATATATAAGGAACAACGAACCATTATTAATTGTATTAGCACATTTTGTAGCTCGCGGGTAGATTGACGGCATGTAATAATACTTAATTGAAACGACATCATTAGAAATAAAATGATGTGATGCACAATTATTATGTTATTAGGATTAGGTTGATTCATTTTTATAATACAGTAAATATCGATGAATTTTGACAGATCGGTAATAATTAAACTGCGAAGTGGGTAAGTTGACACTGATTCGTAAAAGTAATTTAGAAAAACAACATGTATAGTACGTGCGCCACATGTAGGTGCAATCCTATCGTGTGTAACCAAATCATCCCTTTGTATTTTAAAAATATTGTTGTTTACTTTTAGAATAAATATAATTAACCTAATATTAATATTTGTTTGCAAATATTTATCGGAGAAATAATATGATAGACTTGAGTTGAGTTTCCGGCATTTTATACTTATAATAGATACACTATAATACATATAGGACAAACAGTGATTAAATTTTGTCTTTAAAATTAAAGCAACGCTATGGCAATCCACCGGACAATCCAAGACTAGATAATGCAAATATGATGTGCACGCAAAGTATCGCACCACTCCACAGCGCATATCCTTTACACACTCGCCATTAGCCACACACTTATAGATACATTGTTCGAACATACAACACTTACCATAGATCTCAGCACGCATAGACTTGCCAAAAGCAAACATTAAATAAGCAACCTTGTTCCACAATAACTTAATCATACTATCCTTAGAAGATACATTACAACTAATCACACAAAAACGAGACAAAAAGTTAATAAGAGTAAACCATACGAGTGTTAGAAAATGATGTCCTAGATGATTTTTCTTAGGTCTTCCTCGTCCGAAATGAAGATAGCAGGAATTGTTACCGCTTTTCTTACATGAATCCTGCAGTTTTTTGTCCATATATACTGATACTCTTTCAAGTTGGCTATTTCTTTGGCCATTTTTAAAAGATTCTTGTTGTACAGGGTTAGATGCTCATTTATATAAACCGGGATTATGCTGCCTTGAATATCCAGATCTTTTGTTGACAAACGGCGCTTACGAGCTTGAGAAATAACGTTGTCCTTAAGCTGGCGCGTTCGCAGTTTTGCTACGATATTTCTTGGCCTACCCTGAACCTTAAGCTTTGCTGTCACTCTGTTTACTTGAAGGACATCATCATTTCTTATGTCAATTTCAGTGCTTTTACCAATCTTTAGTATAATTTCATTTAAGTTTTCATTGTCCCGTTCAGGAATACCAACGATTTCTATATTGAGTAGCCTATCCCTTTGTTGACTTGCATTGATATCAGTTCGTATTTTTCTGTTCTGCACCTTAACTTCTTCCAGCTCTTTTTTCAGTTGATATAGAACTTTAATTTCTTTATTTTGAATTTCAAGTTTCTTTGCTACATCGTCATGTTCGTCACTGTGATGTTGCATTGACTTTTTAAGTGACGTGATATCCCCCTCCACCTCAGTTTGTCTGCTTTCCAACCTGCGAACAGTCTTCTTCAATTCCGAAAATTCGTTTCTGATACTGGTAACTTCTGCTTTCATTTCCTGTGTACTTTCACTAAGGTTTTTTAACGTATTATTTATTTGTGAAATATCTTGCCCGAAATCCATTTTCCATTCATTTAGTGTCGTCATAATTTTTTTGGTGAAATCTTCAAATGCATGTGTGAACTCATCGTTATGTCCACGCTTGCGAGTGCGCCGATTGACATTCATCCTGAACTCTTCGGCTGTGTCGTCCATTGAAAGATCGGAGAGGTCCGGGGCTGAACTCGCTCGAGCGTTGGGTGATTCTGACATTTTGCTGTCTATCTGATCAGAGGTCTGTGGTTGGGAGACGATAGTGCGATGAGTCACGAATTCACGATTCGAAAGCCGCGCGTGGATTTTGAGTTATAAGTTCTGGGTTATAAAGTTTAATTTATAATGGTAGTTTAAAATATGACTTTAATATTTTGCACGAGAAATAGTGAGTGCGTCCGTTCGCACCGGCGCGCGACGTGTATCTGTTGTCGAAGCAGTAACCTCTTTGTTTTGTGTTAAATTAGACAAGATGTTTCATTTATTAAGGATGCTAAAGGATACTACAAAAATGTCACTAGCGAGAATCTCCGACAACATCCGAGAATAGTAATAAATTTTCTTTACATTAATGCAACGCAGAACTTATGTAATAGCAACATGATTGTAGGATTCCCTAATATCGGTACCCAATTTTAGTCTAAAGTTACCCGTCTGTTCTGTTCTGTTGTTGTACTAGTTCTAGGAAGAAAATGTAGCTTAAACTGCCATTTCATAGCTATGCTAACGCGGTTTGTCATCGGTATGAGTGTTTTAGTAGGACAGGATATGAGTATAAGTGTCAATATCTTATCACCTCTGTTTCGGAACACCTATTGAATATTTTCGTGTCAAATGTGTAGGTAGTTTGTGCTCTTTGTCAATACAATTTGTGATATACGCAGATAATACAGTAATGGTTATATGACATGGATTTTCGTGTTGAAGATACAAAAAGGTCAAATTCTTAGTGGTATTTGAATGTGTTGTTTATTTAGTGATTAATAAGTCGAATGCAATTATGAGCGAATGTCATTTAGTCATTGTTTTAGTTAAGCCCAATGGTCTGGTAGTTATTGAGGGAGGCCTACGATCAGCAGTGGTCTTACAGTTGATGTGGTGATCAGGTGATCATTTATTTAATCTATTTAATACCGAAAATAATAGAACAAAAACACTAGACTACACTTGGTGCGGTGGCTGGGCAACTGTCTACCGCGCAACGTTTCGGTTCGATTCCCGCACGGTGCAACTCTTTGTGTGATCCAAAAATTGTTGTCCCGGGTCTGGGTGTCATGTGTATGTGAACTTGTATGTATGTTTGTAAACGCAACCATGATACAGGAGAAATCCTAGTGTGGGGAAAGGTTTTTTCAACAAAAAGATATGTAACTAAGAATTATGATATCTGCTACACAGACTTAAACATGAAAACTGAAATTTAGTAATTATAAAACAACGAGAAATCTGAAATTTAGTATTTTTAAAATTGAAGTCTATGAATTGAGTACGGTCGGTGTAGAAAATCACTAATTATCGTATTTTGACGCACATTGCCTATGTACGGTTAATCGATTGGGGCACGCATATTATCGGCCCGGTAATTCCTTTATAGCTGCATTTTCCTTATTCTTATCCTAAATACAGTTTTTGTGTTAATAAAGGTTAGAAGTTCATTGTGATCTATGTTTAAGGTGAAAAAATTGGTCCTTTGTGTAATTGTTTGATCTTTCGTGGCGCATGTGTTGAAGAACCAATGTGTAGCTTGATTTACTTATTTATTATTTATTTATGTACACACATACAACATAAAGGACAACACATACATAAAATTAAAGTACAAAGGTACCACCTATTCCTATTGGAATTTCTTCCTGTGGACCTGGAGCAGGAAATGTAATAATAATATAGTGATACAGTGATTCGTTAATATTTTACTAGATATAGAAATGCGTGGTAAGTTAACAGAGAAACAGATAATTGTTCAGCACAATATCAATAGCATTTTTCACCTGTCTCCTAATTGCCTCTATTTCTAAACTCTCTTCTTGAAAAGTCCTTCACGCAAATAATTTATAAAGTAACACAACATAATATCACGCCTTTTTATCTCCGAAGGGGTACGCAGAGGTGCACATTACGGCACTTAATGCCACTGTACAGAGTAACACCCACTTTTCACTATTTTATTACGAGTTCAGCGGCACAATTCCAGCATCCGTGCTACTACTGACAATAAAAAAAACCCAGTAGAGCCCGACCGGGAATCGAACCCGAGACTATATCGTGGCAATCGCACTTGCGACCACTCAGCCAACGAGGCAGTATTTCAAAGTGATATGAGTAACTTTTCTAATCTCACAAAACAATATAGTTCATCAATGTGCTTTATCATCATAGTCATATCAGCCACAGGAAGTTCACTGCTGAACATAGGCCTTCCCCAATGACTTCCAGACAGGCCGGTTGGAAGCGACACGATGCTAACTTAAAGAAAATTTTACATACTAATGTCCAATCTACGACGTGGCTAATAGAGTTGATAATCGTTGAATGGTCAAAATCTCTGGTAGGTTGATGGTAACGAGCTGCCATCATACTGATTAGTTCCACACATCACTAATTGCACTCGTTAATTAGTAAACGTCGTTTATAAGCAACACTTTTGATGAATATTGTGTAACAAGTTTCGTAATTTGTTTGCTTAAGTTTATTTTTTTGATTACGTTTAGATTAAGATGTTTTTTCGTTGAGTAAGACTGGGTAGTAAGTGTGATAGATTTTGTAATATATTTTTTATATTGTTTGAATTACAATTATTAGCTATGTTATTTTTTATACCAATGAACTAAGAAGTATACCTAATAAATAATAAAATAATAAGCCTTTTATTTATTGCAGAATTACTTACAACGAAAAACTTATAAAAAATATTTAAGAAAGGTTCTTTAAACAAAATTATTAATGTTTCTTATTAATTCTTATTACAAAACTTATGGGAATCATCATAATATGAGTAAGTAATTAAGTAATTGCTGATCGAAATATCAGTACCTATACTGGTCTTTTGGTCCTTTGGTACAGATTTACCGTCGAAATAATATTAAAAGGACTACCAGCTTCAAAACTTTATCCACGAAAAACAAAATATTTTTCCGAACGAATTCCATTCACTTTGAACTGACAAACACTTTATTTTACCAGATAAAAAACGTCAATCACAATCACATTCCAGTATTTTAAAAAAGCTAAAACCAGACTGAACATGGTTTACGTCATTTAAATCTAAACCTCACAATATTTATTTTGTAGCCAGTACACATCAATCTATATTATCACCAGTATATCACACATTACACATTAACAGCCTATAATGCCCACTGCTGAGCAAAGCCTCTTCTCCCTCGGAGAAGGTTTGAGCAATAATCACCACGCTTGCTCAATGCGGGTTGGCGATTTCAAACTTATAATTAGAAATTATAAGTCCAGCTTTCCTCACGATGTTTTCCTTCACCGTTTATCAGTGGTGTCTGAATAATCTTAGAAAGTGCATATTATAACTCGAAAAAGTCACATTGGTTACTTCGTCTTAAACCTCTGGACCACGACGACCAAAGTATCATGGTCTCCCATTGTACGATCTTTCTGCAAATTTGACGGTTAGCTTATACTGGTTGTATAGCTTGATGTGAAGGCGTGTAATACAAATGACGACAAATATGTATTACCTAATGTGTCATCAGAGGTTAATTAACACAAATTACACATAACAGCGTTAATTTGGAAATTTTCTGTTTCGGAGAAACAATTAGTTTAAACGATGAAAATTGTGTATTTTGTATTAATGTTCTTTTATATTTATTGTTCGTATGTAGTCGGTATTTCAAGTACTTGATGAAATTGGATTAATTCGTAGTTTTTCTGGATGAACTACATTCTGAGATTCATGATCATAAATGACATCTTGGTTTGTTATCTGCCTGCTGCCCACATCTTTGTATGAAGATAGATAGCATAAGCACATTGTAGTCTTAAATTTTACAATATAATAAATGCTACAAAGAGCTAACACAAATTTTAGAAGAAAGTGCAGCTAAAACACTCTAGAAATAAGGTCTCTTTTCAACTGAACGTCAAACTAAATCACCTTTTAAAATCCACAAGTCTCGCAGACTTACTAACATATAAACAAAACAGAACAGTTCACGAAGGCCGAACAAACAAAAACTACAACATTTACTATTAAGTAAAGGGTGAACAAGTAGCGCAAAGGACCAACAAGTAGGTACTGTGAGTTAGATAAATACGCGCGCCAATCAGCTGTCGCCTAACTTTCACTGCGCAGGAGTTGACGCAATGTTCGGACACACGCTCACGCTACACTGTATCTGGATGTGCAAAAGGTTCATTGAAAAAGGAAGTCTACAAAATTACAATACCTTTTAAAAATTGATATTTCACAATTAACCACTTTGGAAAGAAACGCTGGAATTAATATAAAGGTTATATCTTTTTTAAATAGGAAAATTCAGGGTAGAATGGCACTAAGGCTCAGCTCAGACAAACACTGTTGTTAGCATATTATCAGCAAAATCAACACATTTCATAATCATTTGACACAGATGTCGCACAATATGGTTAATTCCTTTAAACCACATTTTAATTAATATTACTACTTCGGACTTCCCCAAAAAATCAATTTATTATTATTCCCCAAAAAATTAATTTATTTGTTCTGCGAACTATAATTATACATATTGTGATCGAGTCTTCGTTTTATACTAGTGGATAGCGTGAACTTGTGTTTCACCTTAAAAAAAATGTGCATTTTTGGTTACACTTTTTCGTTCCTCCTAACAATAATATAAACTTACCAAAAAGTAATTAGTATAGATCGGTTCAGCTGTTGTCAAGATTTACCTCTACACTTAGCAATACATACATATAGCGATTCTTTTTTATATTATAGAAGATTAGCTTTTGTCAGCGGCTTCGCCCGCCTTCTCAAAGGATAAAAAGTAGCCTATTCGTTATTCCGGACCATAATCTACCCCGGCTCCAAATGTCATCTCAATCCGTTCAGCGGTTTTGCAGTGAAGGAGTAACAAACAAACAAACATAAATGCAAACTTTCGAATGTATAATATTATAAGTAGGATAGCAGATGCATAAATTGTTTCTACGGCTTCAATTCGATGAACTGCAAACTTGATCTCACCTTCTGCATCTACGCTTTATAT